GCATGTACGTTCGAGTGTAAAACCCCAAGTCGCTCTTTCCCAGGAGATTACAATACCAAGTCTACATGCCAAACAAAATTACACGCTGATATGGTTTTTTATTCACTCTGTACACAACCATTAATTCTTTCCAATGCTTCTTGTTTTTTTTTTTTAAAAAAAAGATCCTGATTATCGATACATTCGCTCGACAAACATACTCTGTTTGCGCATGGCACGAGATATGAAGCCAGGATACCACATGTACAGACAACTCTCCAATCTCATCATGCCGGCAGAGAAGAAGAAAAAAAAAACTACAAACACAAGAGCCAATCCATCAATTCGCATGACTTCCCTTACCAATCGCAACCTTGAAAGCGACGCAAAATGCAACAACACACCATAGCCGTCGCAGTTTCGGTACCTGCCTAGCACCGGGGAGCTCCGACGCGGTGGGCTGGAGGGGTATCGTACATACACAACCCACCCACCTTTCCTCACAACCTACCGCCGCACCTCCAACCTCTTCCTCACCCAACTCGCCCTCTCCACCATCCTCACAAGCGAATGCCAACATCAACCCCCCGCCTAACCTCCCTCCTCTCGCACCTCTCCTCTCCCAGCGCAACAATGACCACCACCACCCCCGCAAAACCCCCAATTACATGCCACGTCCTCGACACAACCATCGGCCGCCCCGCCGCCAACATCCCCGTAACCCTAACTCTCCATCCCTCCCCCTCTTCCTCCTCTTCCACCTCCAGTTCAACCTTGACCTTCACTGCAACAACAAACAGCGACGGTCGCGTAACCGCCTGGACGCCTTCAACCCCCTTCTCCTCCACCACACTGTCCGAAGCATTCGCACAAGCGGGGGATCAGCGGTATGGATTGACGTTTGACACGGAAGCGTATTTTGGACAAAGGGGCATAGCCACGTTTTTTCCCGAGGTCGAGGTCAAGTTTGTAGTGAGGGAGGGGGGGAAGGCGGAGCATTATCATGTTCCGGTGCTGTTGGGGCCGTTTGGGTATACGACGTATCGGGGGAGTTAGATGAGTGTGGGGCGTACATGGATGTGGGAAAGAAGGGGGGGGTGTGGATGGGTTTTGAGGAATTGAAAGATTGAAGGAGATGCAGACATGTACATGCAAAGAGGAGATATGTGTATATGATTTTCAAAGATAAAGATTAGGAATGGAAGGAGGAATTGATAATATATCAACACTACTGCATTTCTAACATATAAAGCAAGGACTAGAAGAAAACTTTGTTTCTCTCATCTCTTGACTTTTTTTTGCTATTTCACTTTCTACATCTCCCCATCTACACTTCCTTCATTCCTTCCTCCTCAACTTCCTCTCACGTACTCAACACTTCAACTCAACTCACACAAAGAGAGAGCCACCCTCCTCATAGATACATGTGGAAAAATATGAAAAAAAAGAGAAAAAAAAAGGAAAACGTACGTCAGCGCTAGACGTCAAGTATGGACAAGTAGAAAAAAAAGAGATCATGACCTTCCAGAAAGGAAGAGAAAAAAAAAGAAGCAACAAGCAAAAGATCCTTGGGATATCAATGAACGGGCGAGGTCAAGACAGACAGACACACTCTGAGGCACACATCTAGATAAAGATAGAGAGGAGGCGCACAGAGAAAAGATGAAGAGAGGGGGTATCCAAGACAGGATGAAAGGAGAGACCGAAGACAATGGCATCCCGAGATGCCAGACCTCGGTCCATACACACACACACACACATAGTCCCTAGACCCCTTTGATTTCGTAGAATGCAAGAACAAAAACACTAGCTCGGCCCAGCCTTGCCGGACTTGGGTGGGTTTTCAATGTCGACCCGTGACATCAAGTCCCCCCTCCCGTTGTGAAGAGAATCGAAAAAAAAATGTTTCGATTACAGTTCACTTCGGTTGGTGTCTGCAAAGGGACTGGTATCTCTTCGGTTGGAGATGGTGCTGCCTCGCTTGGAAGCGGATGATTCTTCGACAATGGGTGTCATTGGGGTGCGGAGGCCAGACGACGGGTCGTAGGATGTGATGCGCTGAGACATCATGGGTCGGGCATTATCGAGCGATGAGTTGTCGGAAAAGGGGCTGTTGTCCATGTGGGGAGTTGTGTCTTGGAATTCGGTGACATCGGAATCACGGTTGGGTGATTTGCCAAGGAGTGTCTGGTTTGCGCGTGTGTGGTCGTCCTCCTCGTCTTCAGTGTCTGATGCCAGGCTTCCTCTGCGTGCGCGCGAGTGTTCCCTACCATCGTCGGATGAGAGCGTGGAGCTGGCAGTAAGAGGTCGTCCGGCCGAGGCGCGACGTTCGGGTGTGTTGACTAGGGTTCGTTCGGTATCCGTGGTTGAGCTTGAGCTCTTTGGTGGCGTGATCTCTGAGCTCTTCTTCTTGGTGATATGTAGAGCCTTGACCGGACCGAGCTGGGCGGTGCTACGGACAGAGTTGGCTGGGCTGATACCGGGCATTTGGATGCGAATGGGCTTGAGAGAGTGCTTGGGGTCGATCGATGGTACTGGTGGTGTCTGGGTGGGTGTTTCTCCTGGGCTGTTTGATCCCGTCGACTTTACGCTAACAACGGCGGCCTTGCCACGCACAATGGTCTGCGCAGGAAGTGGAGAGACAATGGCGTTCTGGCGGTACATGGTGGATGCGACACTGCCTCGTTGGGCAAGGCTGGGTGCGATGCTGGTGCGGCCGGCAGTGCTAGAAGACATCATGGAGTCGCGGAAGTCGGGGACGAAGAAGTGCTGGTCGGCAGACGAGTAAGGGCTGCTCTTGCCCGACGAAGGCGACATGGAGGGGATCGGAGGGACGGGAGGAACAAGCAGGTCGGGAGATCCGGGGTTGCCAGAGCGGTTGGTGACGCCGGGAATGTAGGCGATTTGGATAATGTTTGAGGCGCGAGTGAGGACGGACGAGGCCATGGAAGCAACGGTGTGTGTGGATGCGCGGGCGCTGCGGCGCGACTCGAAGTCGTTGTCCTTTTCTTGCTCGACAACGTCGACATCGTTCCATTCGGGCTGCTGGGAAATGGGCCTCCTCTTGCCCTTGAGGCAGTACTTCCAAACTACGAATGTGAGAATGGCGACGACTAGGATACCTCCAATAACACCACCGGCGATGGCGCCGACGTTTGGTTTGCTGGGCTCAGCGGGAGCAATGGTAGGGTCGACCTGGCAGTTGACGGAGGCGCACTCGTCGCATGTTCGCGAGTTCTGGACACAGACCTGGTTGGCCGGGCACTTGATGCCCTCGCAGGACAGTGGTGCTTGCTCACACAGCTTGCATCGCTTCTCTATCCGAAAGACGTTTTCGGCGTCTGGCAGCAGGTTAGCATGCGGCCATGTGGGATCGTCTGGCGGGTGCGGATGGTACCTCGAAGCGCACGGATAGACATGGTGGGCGGTTAGTAGATCAGCGGACCCTGCTGATGATGATGATGATGATGATGATGGTGAAGGCGAAAATGACGAAGAAGAAGTACGGCAAGGAGATGAAGAAGAAGCAACGTGGGCCAGCAGTCAGCCGTGGACACGCCCAGGTCGGGGTGCAGCAGTGGCTGGTTACGGGTAGATCAGGGCTCTTTTGGCGGAAATAACGGTGCGCGTGGAGTGCAGTCGGGTGGGTGGTTGTGAAGGAAGGCGGCGCAAAGAAGAAGACGAAGAAGAACAGAAGACAAGATAACGAGTGACGGCGAACAAAGACGGGCGGGCGGTCGCGCAGCAAAGAAGGGCGGCGGCGACGCGAGGGTGGGTGGGTGTGTGTGTAGGGTGGAGGAGGAGACAAAGAGGCAGGGCCGTGTTGGGCGGGTGCACAGCGGCGGCGGCGGGCTTGTACAGTAAGATGAGGGTATGGGGGGTGGGCAAGGGCCGAGAGTGTCTGGCTGGCCAGGGAGGCCGCGCGTGTTTCGTCTCGTTCCGCGAGGGCCAGAGGCTGCAAGGTGCCCGGCGTGGGACAGCGTCAAACTCCACCGGAGGGACTCGTCTATGCTTCTTGCAAAGGGCAGTCGGTCTTGTTGGCGATGGTGTAGCAAGCCGTCGGCAGGCGGCGATTAGGCGTGTGGGCTAGCAGGTTATCATATAAACGGTGGTGGTGAAAGGGTCGGCGCATGCACCGCCAAATAGCAGCGGACAGCGGACCAACTGCCCTATCCTCACCACCAACACGTCCGTTCGTGGTCAAGCGGCCTCGGCCCAATCTATTTATTGCAAGGCCCAGCCGTGCGAGCTGCCGCGAACGCAGCGAACTCGCGCCCAGCTGCTTAATCCTCAACCTTGTGCCAGCCCCCCGCTGTGATTGGCCCCCGTCCTCGTCAGACTGCGCGTCTAGATTTTTGCCCAGTCGTCGCCAGCAAGTCACGAGAGTAATATCTTCAGTGCAATGTACACATGTCCTCCTATCATGGCTGCTGCCACTCGTCTGTTGCCGCAAGCCACTGGCACGCCTGTCCTCAACACATCTCTCTCTGTACACCTCTATTCCCCAAACTGCCGGGCTCCTCCTCAACACCACCGTCCTGGTCGCTGCATCTGTCTTTCTATCGGCTTACCCTGTTAAACATTGTCTGCCAAACAAGCTGTAAGCCTGTCGTTATCGGCCTCTGTGGGCTGAGCCCGTATCCGCATCCTTTCATTTCCTTTGCCTCAGCCGCGCCACAAGTCGACGACGCGCCACCTTCTACCGCCTCCCCCCGTCTTACTGTGTCCCATTCGCAAAGACATAACAACTGCGTATACCATCATGGGCCATGCCCCTTGTCCACTCCACTTTGGCTTTTTTCCCTGTCGCTGCCGATCCCAAACGGTCGAGACCGCCGCATCTCACCTCCCTCTTTGGCCCTCGGCATGCCTGCCATCCACTCTTTTGCATTTTCAACCTTGCAGCCATCTTATAGGCCCAGCTATCTGTTAACCATTCTGCGCACTTTTTTTTCAATAGCCTGTTCTCTCTCGCTTGCACTTGCTTTCCAATAGTTCGTCCATTATGCACAAGCACCCCTTTTTTGCCTAAACATATACTTCTTTCCAACCACATTAATGCCGTTTTTTGTGCATTTGCCGTCGCAACTATATACCAACTACCCTTTGTCTTCACCCCCGTGGCTTGCCTTGGCTTCAGATCCACCTCCACCACTTTCCATGTTTTCCTTTTCGTCATTCAAACTCTATCGTCCTTCCCCCACCATTCAACCCGCTCGAACGGCTGAAAATAGCCCAGAAACTGTATTCTCGACTCATGTCCAACTTTGATCCTTAGTCCATCATTTACCCGTATTCAACCAAACTCACGCCCATGCCTCACCATCGCAGCTCCACCTCAACAGCTCAACATCACCATTGCCATTGTCATCATCACCATAAGCAAGGTAGTAGATGCAAAGGAGACTCTATACTTCATCCTCTCCCCTGTTGACGCGTCATTGTTCTGTGACAACAAAGGACATGTAAAAAGAATACACGGAGGCTGTGCATCCATCTACACACAACCCGTCTTGGGCTTCAACATGTCACCTTTGCATGCGACTGTAGCATCACCTGCGTCTCGCATAGATTGCCCATCTCTAAAGTCTGCCCAAGAGCAAGAGATTGTCTTTATTGTCGTCTCGTATCCTCGTTCGTCACTTGGGAAATGAAGGAAGTCAAAGTAATATCGATACCCCTCAAGCCCGGTGGAAAAAGAAACACCTAGAGGTATTCATCCAAGAGACCAGAAAACGAAGCAATAGACAAAGGTGAAAATTGTCCAAGGGCTTTTGTTAGAGTCGTGTATCCAGCCTCGGAACCGGGCCGGATATTACAATCTCACCTTCCAATCTCCCTTTGCACCATCCATCTCCTACTAGCAGATGGAAAATGCCATACCAACAAAAGCAAAGGCTTCTTCTTTTACTAGCTCTTCATTTTAACGCCACTCACTGTCCGCGTGTCATTTCCTTCAACACCACACACGACCCCAGGTGACTACTCTTCAGCCAGCACCGTCCCGACTAAAAATCCCTCATATTCCACTCCTCGCACTACGCCTCATCATTGGAATGTTCTTGTCTTCCTTTTTCGTTCCACAACGGATGCGTCCTCGTCCCGTTGCCGACATGCTCTGCTGGCAGTATGATCGGCATTTTGCAGCCGTCCTCGTGAACCTAGTGGCCTCACTTTCCAAGTCAATGACTAGCCCCCAAAGCTCCATGTGGCGCATTCATTCACTCCATTGAGACACCGAAAACCTGTCAGAAGTGAAAAAAATGGTCCCGGAATAACACATCTCAAGCCCTTTGGTCTGATGCACATGGTAATACGTCCTTGTGATCCAACAAGAAGACTGGTGTCCCTCTTTGGAGCAAAGCCTGTTTCGTATCAATGATACCAAGTCGTCCTTCGTGGCGTCTCCTGGTGCCTGCAAATCAGGTACATGCAAGGAGGGAATCTGATGCTAAGTGGATACCCCCATCTTGCTCGTTCCAAGCCAGCGCGCGCTTGCAATTCTTTGCATGTGGTATGGATCCACGCCCAGCTGTATCTCTATCCCTGCTTCATTCTTGTGACTGACCCTACCCAATCACCACATGAGGCGTCTTTTGGCATCACCACGTACACATGTACAGCGGGAATCTGAAAGAAAAGGGCGGGAGGCGGCAGCGTCCCATTGACACGACGTTTGTGGGTCAATAGCGGTCCATCGCTAGGGCCTTTCCGCATCCGGTGCTGCTATCAACGGGAACTTAAGGCGACAGAACTAGGTATCCTGGCATCCATGGCACACACAGGAATGTGACGCGTCTTTGATTCGGCGTGGCAACTGGGCATACAATCTCCAGAAAGTGATGCTTCACAATGGCTGTTCGGCCAACACGTCGAGACTTGTCGTTATCGTGAAATCCAAAGGTGGGGCCATGTCCCGGCTGCAGGCCACGCCGGTGACTGCACTGGCCAGGAACCGAGGCAGCCTCGTGGTGAATACAGTAACTCTTTGCCTATCCCCCGAGCGTAGGCGAGCGGCTTCGGAGAACGGGGCGCATTTTCATCGGCAGACATACTTACTACTCTGCTCGGGGAAGGTGATTCTCCCGCCCCGCAGATTTTCTGTCCGTAGTACTACTACCCCGCATGCGTCCTACCATACCGCTATAGAGACAGATCCATCGCCGCCATACTCCCGACGAAGCTATGGAATCTCCGGCTGCATCTTGCACGAATTGCAGAGTATGCCGGGCTACGTCACCTTGTGCAGAATCTCCATTCATCGTTAAAATGCTCAATGCCGTGCCTGTCCAGTATGGCGTGATGCTGCATATCCCGTAGCAGGGCACCTTGTACGCCCGCAGTAATACCGATAGCAGAGGTTCCTATACGGTTCCACGTCTTCTATAGTAGTGAATTGTAGTCGTAGATCCTTTCGTTTTGGAGGCATCATGCCAGTCAAAGCAGTCAAATGTCGTTTGGATTCGGGCTCATGCAAGGTGAGTTGGCGTATGAGCAGATTGCATTGCAGAACTTGCGCGGTAAGCCCGACGCATGGAGGGTATGCCCTGTAACCGTGACAGGTGCTTGGATCTCGGGCATTGGGCACATGTTCGTCTCCCTCGCACACGTGTACGCGATTCATGCACCCTCTCCAAGAGCCGTGACCGTCACCAGATTGCCGATCCGGTAACGATCTTGAATGGAATAGCAAGCCCGGAAAAAGCAAAGCGTGGTTTTTGCACTGCATCGGTTAGGCAAGACATTCTGCTCCGAGTACGCTATGGGTGTAAGCCCCAGCCGCGAGCAGTTTCACATCCAACAAAGAGTGACGACTCTTGAGCGTTTCATCACCCGTCTCCATACTGCATTGTGGTTACTCCCACTGGCGGCACCGGATTGTGTTGATAATGACAAGCGGGGTAACCCAAGCTTACATCATGGTCAGGCTGTGTATTGCCACTTCGTGCTGGCGCTGCGTTGGTCCACCGTGGGAGAAGCCCGGATGCCTAAGTAGGGTTGATGCGTAACACTTGTGAGTAGGCGAGTGGTATTTCAGTATGAAAGCTGGGGTAGCTTGGCCTTCGCATATTCATGTACCATTCTGCTGCAACCATACCCAGTGTGTGGCGTACCTGAAGGGGTCTCCCTGCTCCCCACGACCATGGAGACCTTGTGCCCGAGGAATCTAGCGGTGAAACCAGCAGAGCCGACTTGCTCACACCTTGTCACCGTCCTCTTGGTGTGGACACCGTGGGATGATAGCCGGCGTCAATCATGGAACGCCTTCTGAACGATGATCGGCATGGTATGTGTGTTCGCCAAGATGCTGTTGGTGCGTCGTCAACATCAGCCGGTCAGATTATGCCTCTAGGGAGGGTGTAAAGCGAAGAAGAGAGTGTTGTAAATCTCTCCAAAGGTCGCGGTGGCAAAGAGATCGTCTTAAAGTGTCTACAGTCGTTCTGTACAACCCGAATCTATAGACGTGGCAGCTGTGCTGGCTTTCTCTCACATTAATGCCGAGATGTGATGCATATCGAGTTCGGCCATGGACTGTCAAAGATGCCAGGTTTTCTTGACGAGTTAGGAAGCTTTGTGAGCGGTCGATTTGTAAAGGGTGTCCTGCGGTTCGGTCTTTCTCGCTGCCCAATGGCGTTGGTTGGGCTGAGCAGGGCGAACAATGAGGCGAAAGGCATCAGTGCGTCCACGCCCAACGAGGACTTGGTCGCAACGGATGCGTCGCACCTTCGCCCCGAGAGGGTCCGGTGTGTAAGTGGTTATGTGTAAGCGGATCCGGGACAGGAGGCCTTTGGTCATGTGTATAAGTCTTCTGCGTGCCCAACCTCAATTCCACCACCCACACGCAACGAAGAACATAGTCCGGCCCCAATCATAAACCCCTCTCGTGAACAATCCAACTCAAACAACATGGCGGTACCCAACTCCTACTTTGTGCCAGGCTTTGGCATCTCAAGAGCCGTCATCCAGAATGAGATCCGATACCATTGCGGCCCGGATGCGATAGTGCGTCCCTACACTTTCCAGGTATTTGGTAGTCGCTCTTGCACTATATGACAAGTGCTGATCCGCTGGCCAGGGACGTGACGGCTTCTTGATCACGACAATTGGGCCTCCATTAACCAAGGTACACGACCTGGCCCATATAATGTTGCTTGGAGACTGACAAGTACAGGCTCAAATTGAGGATCTGAAGATGTCTTCTCTCGAATACGAAGAGAAGCAATCTCGTATTGCTGACGAGACCAATGTCTTCGTAAATGCACCCATCCCGATCACCCAACGAATACGACGAAGCACCTGATGCGGTGCATGCGCCAGCCGTGGCTTTGATACCACGACCGGGTCTTCGAAAAGCTTCTGTCTTATACCCCGTACCTTGGCAGATGTATCATGTTCTCTTTGCCGGAGTATGGATTTAGCGCGCATATTGCCTCTGGGTTGGCTCTCTGATGATCTTATTATATACGTTTTGGTTCCTCTGATGACCTGGGATTTGGAGTTTGGTTTTCTAAAGAGTTGATCTCTTCCGATGAATATCTATCTGCCTGGACAAGCTGGGAAAGTTGTAATCTTATCGTCAGTTGAAAGTATTTGTTCGTTCATCGAAAGTCTGATGATTCCAAGGTCTTGTATGCTTCCGTAAATGGCCGTGATTTGAGTCCAGTCGCGTCTGTTGTTTTTGTGTTTCTGGCATCTACGACGCGCAGCCAGGAAGACAAGATTAGTCTCGTTATACGCACTGCCTGGAGTACTCTCGGGAGCTTGGTTGGATGTCGCTTATGGCATGGCCACACAATGAAAGTTGGATTTCGTGACGCATCATCCGGGTTATGCTGATGACTGAGATGGTGAGTGGAAAGGCTGAAAGCACTGACTATCTGCGATATAGGTGCGTCGCGCCTTCGAGGCTGAGCACCTGCGTTGACAGCGGGGACAGAGAACATCCCGTGGTGTATAGTGTCGGATTCATTGCCTGTGGATTCTTATGAGAAACAAAGGTGGGACATGAGTGTCAAGTATTGTTGATGTTGTGGTAATGGGGCGGAGCTTGAGCCACTCTCACTTCCAAGATGCAGGAACGAGTGACGTGTGATTGGACAACCCGTCAAGCGAAATCATGACTGGTGTGAAGTGTCGTCACAAACAACGCAGCGACTGATGTGACGAAAAGCGTCTCGACACGTTGCCCCATGCGCTGTTCTGTCTTATTAGTTGTTGCAAGGTATGTACGTCTGGCGAACCCAAAACCAATATTTGCATCGAAGTCAAATTTATAGGCGTGCAACTAAAGCCGCAGTATACTGATAATAGTTCTGCATAGACTCGCAGTGTCCCCTTCAACATTCGTCACACACTGGCTAGCGCTGCTCAGGTACACCTTGATTTTAGAATGCGCTGACTTCCTTTGCTTTAACTGGCCTTTGCAAGGCGAAGCTCTGTTGCTGCCTCTTTAGCGATACCTCACTATCAAATATCATGCTCTCGAGTACATGAGTCATGCCTAACTAACTTGTCTGAAACTCAGTTTTCTGCACCCATATGCATGCCCGTTAACGCTGAGATTGGCCATGTCCACAGCAAAGACGGGAATACTGATCTAACCTATTATAGAATAGTTCCGAAAATGGTCACTGAAACAAGAACAGCAAGTGAATTTTCACACAAATTTTCACGCCTTGATTTCTTGAGCTTTCACATATCGTGCTGCCTATAAGCACAACAGACAATGCCTATCGTCTCGTGCGCGATCTTGTTCGCCGACAAGTTTTTTCGTTGAAAACCACACCCACTACCGATACATGGATACGGATTACGATCCACTGTGCCACCTGAGAGATCGCAAATGCAATGCGATACGTGTGTACCTAAAACAGGACGCTCGCTTTTGGCTTCGGAGTTTTGTTCACAAGGCATCCAGTAAACGAACTCAGGTTTCACAGACATGCGCCGCCACACAGTCAGCAAGCCAACCCCCAACCAATGGCTTTCTTTGGCAGCCGCATAGTGAACATGACACACATAGATTATAGATATTGGCTAAATCATTGATTTGTCATCAGTTCATTACAACTCGGCACTTTGGCGGAGTGGTTAACGCGCTGGCCTGCTAGTCCTGTATGGGAAAGTTAGCCAGTTCCTTCGGGAGCGTGTGTTCGAATCACACAGGTGTCGCACCAACCAACCTTTTTTGCTTTCCTTCTTGCATCGGACATTAATATATGTGATAGCTCTGGTGATATCATTTTAGTCTATGGACGAAGCTCTGGGTATTGCTGTCTTTTTGCACTCATGCTGTAAAACCAATGGCACAAGTGGTTCTTCCACAGCAAGTACAAAGCGGATACCAACGGAACTGAGAAGCAGATTATAACACTTCAAGCAATTTCCAAATGGTACTAATGGCACACGGTGTGTGCAGTCTCCACGTCTTGAAGACTACATAACATTACACATATCTGGTCCCTGACTCTTTGCGCCAGCTTCCGTTGTCGTCTTCGCGCTTGTTTTCGCGATATCTTCTAACACTTCGCGGCACAATTCACCCGTCAGCGCACTGCACTCTGCATAGCGATCGCAAAGCATCTGCTGTGCAGTCTGCACCCCTTCATGCGGCATAACGCTAGCGCCTTTGCCTTTCTTATCCGGCCCATGTTCCTTTATCGTCCATTGCTTTCTAAGATCCCTCTTCAGTCCCAAGACCATGACCGGCAGATTTTCGTCATAGTTGAAGTGCTTGTTCACAATAGGCAGCCATGTCGTTGACAGGGATTCGAGCGAGGCGCGCGAGGAGATGTCGTAGCAGAGGATCACGAATTGAGGCTTCAGGAGAGTGTAGTTGTAAGGCGAAGCGGTATCGAAGAACTGGATTCTATATGGACGGCCGTAGAGTGAGATGTCGAAAGCGTAGGGCTGGTCTATATCGCGCAACGTTGGGAGCTCGTACGGTGGAAGGTCGTCACCTCGAGGTTGGATACCAAGGCTCAGGCGCCTATGACCATGTCAGCAGTGTAAGCGATGGCTTTTATGCGCTATCATTCACATGAGATGCAGCCTTCATAGGCGTGCTATGGGAAGCGCCAAACGGCGTGTGACGCTTGCCAGACTTACGATAAGAATGTCGACTTGCCGACTTCTGCATCACCAAGTAGCAGCACATTAATCTCTGGAGGAATTGATACATAGTCCATGTTGAATTCGGATGCCTTGCGGCATAAGTTGTTCAAAGCAGCTTCATACTTGCTATTGCTATCGCGACAGAGGTTCAAGAGTGACGGATATGCCTAGGCGCGGAGATAGGCGTTAACAATGTCTTGGCAGAAGAGCACTAAAGATGATGGTATATTCATCATTTCTTTTCTTTGCTTCAACACCTGATTGTGACTACATACCCGTTTCTGTGAAGACTCCGTTCACACCATTCAAGTATTTCTCCCAGTGATAGTCTTTCCTGGGTTACTGAAAGGTGTTCCATGCTAGCAAACGTTATCAATGTTCTCCAGCTCCTACGAAACATGAACTGGAGCCTCTCGCAACGACACTAAGTAAGCGTAACGTTTTTGGCGTCGCTGGGCTGACCAGTTGCACCGCAACCGGACCTCATGCGTTTATCTTCCGTAACTTCAACGGACCGAACAATGGCCATTTTAAGTACGTACAAGGATTAAATTTTGTCTTTACCTTAAGGTCCAATCATCATGAGATATAATCAAGCTACATAGACCATGCGGCCACGACCCGTCATTCGTAGAATCCGCAATGCGGTCGACCTTCTACTGTAACGTCGTATGTAACTAGGCTACTAACACGGCGGAACATATTATCGTCAAAGTAATGTATGTAACTAGTGACTAGGCTGGCTCGTATTCGATGAAATTATTCGGGTGACCATGGTAATATGCTCCTGTCGACTTTTAGAGGCGCATTGGTTCCTTTGTTACTATCCTGGATACTGTCGCTTTCAAACGGCTCGTACTGTGATGATTACGGCGCTGAGTTGGTAAGTATTGCCCTTTCAGAGGTTTGTCCAGCGAAGTACTTTGACAAAAAAAGTCGGCACTGATTCGTGTATAGGGTGGTTGGAGTCGGTTGACGTAGTATGTGGTACGTGCACGACGCGCCTGAATGACAAGGTAACCTAGGATGAACCGTGGAACGTTGCCAGTCCTATGTGTATTCATATTTCTTCTTCCTCAATACATCGTTAGCCAGAGATGATGGAGATATTACAAAGTGTCGCCCCTCCGGGGCTGTGCGATTCCCAGTTGTATTCCCGTGATAACATCTTGACGGGTGAAAAAGCCACAATCGTGGGTGCCTTGCAAACGAAATGTCAGTCGGCTTGGCGACATAATCATCCCGCGAACCGGGAGTCTGGATCCTCGGGATTCCGTTTATTATGCGTACTGTTACTTACAGCCCGCACGCTCCTTTGCGTTAGGCTACCAATTTGTTTGGCCGTGGCACCGAGATAACAAGTTGGACCTGCTTAGAACTGCTGGGCATGCACGCGAGCCAAGCACGCTTGCAGTCTTGGGAGCTTGGGTGATAGCATCCTAAATTACCAAATGAGGAAGCTGGCAAAGATGTCCTTGTATCCACATTGTGCCACGGCAGGTGCTGTGTCGTTACGTGGAATACATAAGGCCATGCTGTGGCAACATTCTACTTCTCCACGCCCTGCACCCATAGCTTATTGCAACTTTCTTCTTGCAGTTCATCATGAAGGTCTCTACACTTCTCAGCCTGCTTCCAGGTGCTGCAATTGCTTCTGATGTGCTGAGCGTCGCCTTCTACGCAAAGGAGAAGAATCAGCTGTACGACTTCATCTCCGCCAACAGCGAAATCGACTATGGTTGCCGCCCCCAAGTTCTGGCTGCCGGTAACGAGCACAAACTCCATGCTGTGATTTCAGAAGACCACTTGGACCACTTCAAGCGCAGCCTGGATCCTGACCTCGTCCGTGTCGAACTCTTGGACAACTTGAACAAGCGCCAGACAGCAACCGCGCCTATCGGTAGCGGCGACCGATTCAAGGGAGGAAAGATTGCGCCCCGCGGTCTCGGTACGAGGAAGCCTAGCGAGTATGCTGCTCTTCAAAAAGCAGGTATCCTCAACGCAGATGAAGTCTACACTGCTATGAAGGGCCTGGAGAAGGAATACGGCATGACCCTCTTCACAACACCACACAAGACATACGAGGGCAACACGATTATTGGTGGTGTTGCGAACAAGGCCGAGAAGATCAGGAAGGACAAGCAGTACATCTACTTCACCAGCGGTATCCACGCACGAGAACGTGGTGGACCAGACAACCTGATTTACTTCGTCTCCGATCTGCTGTACGCGAACAAGCACCGCATCGGACTCACTTACGGCAACAAGACGTACACCAACAGCCAAGTGAAGAAGGCTCTCGGTGCTGGTGTTGTCTTCATTCCCATGCTGAACCCCGACGGCGTTCGTCACGACCAGGCCAACAGCAACTTGTGGCGCAAGAACCGCAACCCAGCGTCTTCCCGACCCAACGAGCCTCTCAGCGTTGGTGTAGATCTTAACAGGAACTTCGACTTCCTCTGGAACTTCACCGAGAAGTTTGACCCAACCGTCTCCCCAGCCTCCGCCGATCCAGCTTCCCAAGCTTTCTATGGCACAGGGCCATTTTCCGAGCCTGAAACCAAGGATATGGCTTGGGTCTATGACGAGTTTCCCAACATTCACTGGTACATCGATGTGCACTCTGCTGCAGGAACACTTCTGTACTCTTGGGGCGACGACATTGACCAATCCCACGACCCCGAGCAGAACCTCTTCAACACTGCTTATGATGGCAAGCGCGGCGTCGTTGAAGACACTACATACCTGGAGTACATTGACCAAGAAGATTGGGACAACATCCGTCTGGCCGCAAACCGCACCACTGATGCCATGGCCGCTGTTGGTGGTCGCGAATATATTCCCCAGCAAGCTGTTGGCCTGTACCCTACCTCCGGTGCTTCTGACGACTGGTCTTTCAGCCGCTGGCACGGAGACAAGAGCGTCACCAAGGTTTATGGTTACACCATGGAGTTTGGTTACCCCACCAACTTCTACCCTACCGCTGAAGAGTTTATCCAGAACATCATTGACACCAATGCTGGCTTCATGGAATTCATTCTCACTGCTGCTGAGATTGGACTCAAGGCTTGATTTAGGATGGCTCGAGGAATGAGCGCGCGTAGGTGATGACGTTATGAAAAAAAACAATAAGAATAAATGTAGTAGTAGAGTAGTATTAGTAAATAATGTATTGCACACAAACCAAGAAGCAATATCGACTTCCGAAAGTTTTGCAGAACAGCCTGATGTGTCTATTCACATCTCAGCACCACTCGGTATAGGCTACTCTCGAAGATAGGATGTGTAAATTTAACAAAGTCGATATTGAAGTGGTGGACCCAGAGTGGCGTGAATGACGGGCATGTATTATACAGTAGTAAGATATTTTGCGAGATCTTGTATTTGTATAATAATCTTCTGCTATAATTCCAAATCAGTGAGCGGCTGTCTTTACTCATCTCTCACGTGGAAAGACACACCACAATTAACGCTAGTCTAAAGCAGCCTAGCCTCACCACCCTCTGTTGCATACGCAAAGCACATGCAGCTCGTCACAACGGCAGCCTGCCAGTGCCCCTCTTTTCCTTCATTGAATCTTGTTACCCACCCGTCCCTACGTTCTAGGTTCTGGATAAGGATCGGCTGCACAATGCTTCATTATATGGGCACAAGGCAACCACCACGCAAGTACGTTGTAGCTGAAGCAGACACAAGCACCCTTTCGCATAATCAGTCCTGTAGCATCTGCCGTTCAAGAGTGTGGACACCGGAGTCATTCAGAGCTATCAATGATGCACCTATAGAGCAAGAAAGTATCCCAGTGCATTACCAGATCACATCAGAAGAGCTGCGGAAATCCGTCTTGGGAGGATGCGAGTTTTGCAAGACACTTGCCGACGGGATACACGGCAAGGTTTTCCTCGATGAACTCTACCAGCGCCTGCAAGAGAGTGACAGTAGTTCTGGAACCAATGCATCCGACGACGTAGAAAGCTGTAGTGAGAACGCGAACAAAGAGCCAGACGACCTTGAGCACGAGTGGGCAGATGCTTCTGCTTTCAATGAAGAAGAGTTTGATAATGACATCACAGGCGGCTGGGATGTATGGGAAGAGCGTGATATACTGATCGAGGCATGCCATTTCCAAGTTGAGGTCTCCTTTGAAAGGGGACATGCAGGACTTTTTACATTTGTGAATGCATACATCGAAGCTGTTGATAAGGTGGAACATCCCAATAGTCTGCAAAAGTTACAAGGAGAGAAATCTCTAGAGCTACGATATCACGTGAATACCAAAGGTATGCCATCCGGGATCCTGATGATGAAAAGCTTACCAAGGCAAGAGACAACAGGTCGAATACATCATCCATATTCCCACCTTGGATAGCAGATGGTATGCTTGGAGCAGAGACTAATATGAAGACGCTTGAAGAATGGATGCATAGCCTTCAACCCATCGCTCAGTCTGCAACGGCAACACTGAATTATCTGCCGTCACGCCTGATACAACTGTGTGACGAAGGCGGTCTACGCATAGTCAAAACATCCGCCATCGAGGGTCACGAACCAAAATTTGCCGCACTTAGCTATGTCTGGGGCACGAATCAAACTTTCATCTTGCTTAGTACCACTGAAGAGATGCTCACGACAGGGTTTGGAACCGAGCAGCTCCCCAAGACGATAGAAGACGCCGTCACGGTCACACGCTGCATAGGAATCAAATACATCTGGGTAGATGCACTGTAAGAGAACATTTGCAGCTACTGTTTGGATTGCTGACAGAGAGATTAGATGCATCATGCAGGATTCAGACGAGGACAAGGCACAGGAATTACCGAAGATGCGATCAATCTACAAGTATGCCACAGTGACTATAGTGGCTTCGGTCGCCAAATTTGCTACTGAAGGCTTCCTACATCACGTCGAAGAAAAGTATGACTACTTCATCGAACCGGTCACGATACCATTTTCGGCGAACATGGCCCAGGCGACATGCTCAGAAATCGTCCTTAGTTACCCAGCAGACTACAAGCGATGGAAAGACCCCATCAACAGCCGAGCTTGGACGTTCCAAGAACTCATCTTGTCAACCCGTGCAATTCTCTTCTCATACCGTGGTGTCTCAACAATTGACCGTTCTAGCCCAGGTTCTGCGGACGGCATGACGTCTGGTAAAGATCCGCAGTTACCAAGTTTACCATGGAGCGGCAAGCTGTTCTCTCTTGCTACTACGGCAGAAAACACGAGGCAGGTATGGCTTGCAATACGAGGAGAGTATAGCCGGCGTTCGCTCTCGTACCAGGGAGACAAGCTCGTTGCAGTATCGGCCATTGCCGAGGAACTTGGCCAAACGTACAACAGTCGTTATCTTGCTGGCATGTGGGAGCGTGACCTCGCTATAGACCTACAATGGAACTGTCCGCGCAACGAGACGGTGGGTAGCGACGGCCATAACCGGAGGCCTCGAGCACCAGGTTACGTTGCTCCTTCATGGAGTTGGGCATCTGTCAGCGGCGCTGTGGAGGACTTTGTACAAGTTTGGGAAGATGAAGGCAATAACGGAGGGATTGGGTACAAGAACGGCTTTGGGTTTGAAGTGGTTTCCTGTGAGGTTGAGCTTGCTGTTCCTGGCTTCGAGTATGGAGCCGTCATATCGGGTATTTTGGTCGCGAGAGGTCGTATCTGTACACTCTCTTGGCACCCCCATACCAATGACGAACAGCACAGGCTCCTCGAGTCAGATGGTTACCTTGCAGGATTAGCCGACGGTGATAGGAGCGGACTAGTGAACACGAGTGCGAGCGCCAAATGTGGTGAGGGCATGTTGGATGCCGTTGATCCGGATATGCATGGGGGCGTTGAAGTGGTCTGCCTTGGGGGAAGGTTGGTGGAGAATGTGCCGGGGCGGGAGGACGTGGAAGGAATGATGCTACTGGCGACGACAGAGGGACAGTATCGTCGGGTTGGCTTTTTCCGAGTGCAGACGGGGGCATTTGAGAAGGGCGAGAGTGCAGTGGTCAGGATAGTTTGATTGGTAGGCAGGGCGCAAATGACGACGTGTGCACGTGACCGTGACCGGCCGATGACGGTCAGCGCTAGTGGGCCGGTGCCTTTGGCCCACGAGGGCAGCCACACAGAATGGCGCAATTACTGACCGCCCACACTGACTTGCCGCATGCAAACTCGTGTAGCTGCACACGACGGCGAATGTGGTCGCCAGCATATTTTCCCCGGCTTGCGTGTGCAGAATGCAGCAGCACATGTGCATCATGCAGTAAATTTCTGCTCTAGAAGGTTTTCAGCACGGCTCGGCAAGGAAAAAAAGGTGCAACAGCCGGGCACGCCGCCGGCTGAGTGACGACAAAACCACAATCCATGTCCCAGCGTATACCATGTATCCTGCCCACGTCTTAAGGTACACTTGCCCAGTAGCCTGTCCGGCGCCATCCATGTCGCAAGATTAGCTCGGCTCTCTTCCCTTTATCGATAAGACGATTTTCTACGCGAAAGCTTCGCTGCCTCATCATTCCCTCCTTGTCACTGCCCGTCGCGAAAGACTGTTCACCCCCTACCTCGTCCACCAGCCTTCAAGATGAGGAACATTGTCGTTCTCGGCGGAACCTCTCACCCCCAGCTCACAGAGTAAGTAGCAGCACACGACGGCGTGCGGCGCGCGGGGCCGCTGACGGCGCTCTAGGACTATCTGCAACCACCTCGGCATACCCAAGGCCAAGGTCCTTCTTGACAAGTTCAAGGGCGGCGAGACCAGAGTGGAGATCCAAGAAAGTGTCCGCGGCAAGGATGTCTTCATCATTCAGTCTGGTGGTGGTAAAGGTATGGAATTTCCCTGCCCTCTCCACACACGCGTCGTCGCATTTTTTTCCCTCGAGTCGCGCAATCATCCCAACGCCAGTCGCACGGCAGCATGCTTCACGAACCACGCTAACATCTGGTGTCGCGCACAGTCAACGACCATTTGATGGAGTAGGCCTGTCCTCATGGTATAGTTGAGTCAAGTGCCTGACGTACTATAGACTGCTTATCACCATCTCGGCCTGCCGAACTGCCTCTGCGAAGCGCATCACCGCTGTCCTTCCTCTCTTCCCATACTCGCGACAGTCGGACATTCCCTACAACAAGACGGGCGCACCGCTGTCAAAAGTCCCTGGGCGCTCAAGGACCGGTACATACTCGCTTGAATCTCGCCCCCAGACGCCCCACCCAGGCCAGCCTGAGAGTGCGGGTCTCGCAAATGGCTCGGCATCGCTGCACCACCAGCTTAGCAAGATAAAGCTCGACGAGCGCAATGGCATTACCTCGAACCCTTCAAGCCCCGTCAAGACGAATGGCATTAAGCGCACCGACACGCTTGACTCGACCAAGGGAGATAAGGCTGCGTACTTTGGCACTGATCATGGCACCAACGGCGTCAACGGCACCAATGGCACTCAAACGCCTGGTGCTCTGACACGCCAAACCACCATTACAAAACCTCCAGCTTTCGAGCCCCAAGTCGGATACCGCCAATGGGTCGCTCAGGCCGGTACTTTGATTGCGGATCTTCTGACATGTGCTGGAGCCGACCATGTTATTACCATGGATCTCCACGGTATGTGATATCATTGTAGACACAAGCAACTGTCTCTAACAAATCTCCAGACCCGCAATACCAAGGTTTCTTCGATATCCCCGTCGACAACCTGTACGGGCGTCACCTCCTGCGCAAATACATCCAGTTCAATATCCCCAACTACCAGCAGGCCGTTGTAGTCTCCCCTGACGCAGGTGGTGCCAAGCGAGCCACTGCCATCGCGGATGCACTTGGCATGCCCTTTGCACTTATCCACAAAGAGCGCCGTCCTACCCAGATTAGCGACCGGCAAAATGCGACCATGATGTTGGTAGGAGACGTATCAGCTCGCACGACGATTCTTGTCGATGACTTGGCGGATACGTCCAACACCATTACTCGTGCAGCGAAGCTCCTGAAGAAGGAGGGCGCTACACAGGTAATTGCACTCATCACGCACGGCATTCTGAGCGGAGATGCCATTGATCGCATCAACGCCAGTGCACTGGACAAGGTTATCGTAACCAACACGGTACCTCAGGACGAGCACAAGTCGAGGTGCCCCAAGTTGGAGGTTCTGGAAGTGGGCAATGTGTTTGCTGAGGTATGTACAAAACTTTGGTTGCTATTGGAGCATACTAATAGGAAAACTAGGCTATTCGCCGTGTCCACCACGGTGAGAGCATCAGCGTGCTATTCGATTACAGTTAGTACCTCTGCTCGTTCAGCTTCCATTACTGGATCAATCCCGCCATGCCACGCTTGGTGTCAGCTCCCTATGGACCTTGGGAGCGGTAGAGGCAGATTTGGTTAGAGACCTTTTTTGCTCTCTCTTTTTCGTTTTGTTAAGGTTGCACACTCTTGGACCCTCCTTTCGAAGACATTCAGATTGGACATGGGGGTGTATTTTTGAATCTTCTGTACTTTGTGTTTTTCTAAGACTGCTGAGGAGCGGTATATCAAATACCTAAATGTGCATTATGAGCATATGTGCATGGATTGGCGTTTTTCAAAGGGCAGTTCCTCTTACAAAAAAACTTTGAAATAGTCATGGCTATTTTTTTTGGTTCCACTGGGTCGACGGGTGGTGTGTTGTGCTGTTGCATGACCACGTGCTGTGTGGTGAGGCTTCACCCCTGTCCGGATCACTCGAGTGGTATTGTCAGTACGATGGATGGATGTTAATGATATGATGAAGCGGAAAGGAAAAAGTTATTTTGAGAATTGATTGTGCGTGTATCATGAGTAAATTGATTTGGGTATACATCTTCTGCAACTGCAGTCCTAAGGAATTCTCCACTACTAGGTGCTTCGTATCGCTAAGTTCGTTCCTTCATCCTCTGCTGAACCCAGCATATCAACACTTCTTCTCATCACTCCCTTGAACACCTCTCCTCACCGCGACTTTTTCCTCTTCCTCTCACTCAATTCCTTCTGTTTCTCCAGGGTATACACATGTGCCCAGCACTCGCCGCCGCCATACAACCGGCATATCACCCATTCCAAACAACGCCCCCCCCAAAAAAAAACTCCAAACGCCGCATTTTCATGCATCCCAAAGAAAAGAAAAATACCATTTAAGCAGCCATGAACAAATCAATCAATCAATCAATCACCTAATCCCATCCTCCCACCTCCCAACCCCCGAATCCTTCCTCCGTCCCCCCTTCTCCCCCGGCGTAAACAACTCGGCACTCAACACCAACACAGCCGGTACAACCGCCAAGGCATCAATCGTGCCACTCCTGCCCTTCCTACCCTGATGCCTGAGATCCATCAACGCATTGACTTCACGCGATTTCACCGTTTCTTTACGGGGGGTTCGCGGAGCGTCGGTGCTTTGCCTTGCCGTCTTCAATGCGTAGGCGGGTGAAGATGGGGTGGAGGAGGTGGAGGATGAGCGGCGGGTGCGGAAGCGGGATAGTGAGGAGAGTGTTTTTGAGCGGCCGCGTGGGGCGGCTTGGGCTGTGGGTGAGGTTGGTGAGGATGAGGTGGCGCTGGTGAGGTTGGTGTTGCGTACGGGGTTTCGGGGTGGAGGGAGGCGTGGGAGCGGGATGTTGATTTCGGTGTAGAGAGGGGTGTCGTAGTGGATTTTGAAGAGGGAGTCTGGGGTGCTTGGTGTTGTTGTGGTGGTGGTGGTTATGGGAGAGGATATGTCGCAGATTGGTAGCGCAGAGTGGTTGTGTTGTGATGTTATGGGTGGGCATGAGTCGAGCGGTGGGAAGGCATCCGGGTAGGAGGCTACTATGCTGGCGGCGTGGTCCATGATTTCTGGGTTTCACCACTACTGTCTATCTCTTTCTTTGTTTTGTTGTTGTCGCTGTTTCTTTCAAGCGGGTGTGCGACTTGAGGGGTGATTTTGGGATATCGCCTGTAGGGGGGGATTGTAGAATGAGAAAACGCAGCCTGGGGCGGGAAACGGATTTGTTTTCTATACTACCTCCCGTGTGTCTGTGTGGCTTGGTTGGTTCACCTTACTTGTGCTATGTGACAAAAAGGTACATGGGAGGCCTAGCACAGCCTCGATTCAGGCAAACCGTGGTTTAATATCACGTTTTTTCCTTCTCTCCTTCCTCGTTCAATCGCCGAACTTCGCTCGGAGTCTTTTCTGTGTTAAATTACGCCGCTGCTTTTCGAAATGCGCCAAGATTTGTGTTCGTGATACTTGGTTGTTGAAACAAAAAACCCTTGTTACTTGGGAAGAGTACTATGGGAGGTGGTTGGTGCTTTTGGGGTATTTTAACCACAACGAATATCGTGGATTTGTTTGTTCGCGCAAACGCGGTGTACGTATACAAAGTCGCGACTACATACGTACACATTGTACATCATTTTGTGCTGACGTACGATAATCATTGCAGCTTGCGGTTCAGCTGATGGCTACAAGCCACCCAATTATGCGCATACACCTTGACTCAGCCGCAATCAGAAGGGGGCGCGCGCAGGCAAGGCGGTCGGGAACCACTTTATCCGTTTGAGTCTGACCGCGGTGGAGGATTCGGTCGCCTTTGTGGCGTGGGGCTGTGCGAGTGTCCCCGCATGTTTGGGGGGCAGCTGAGACGAGATGATTTGAGAGCATTCCAGCACCAAAATACTAGGAAGAAGAGGGCATCGATTTGTGAACAGCTTCTGCGTGCAGTGAAGTAGGGACATCTTGGTTGTGGAGGGCTAGTCGGTGAAGCGCATTTAAAATGGGTTTGGTCGCGATCATTCCTTATCTTGCATCTAGCGCTTACAATGGTACTTTAGGAGTGTGGAACTCTGTCTTCGCCAGTTGCTTGGCATGTCGACTTTCCAGAGAGAAACGACCGAGGCTTGGGCACGTGGTGTAGTCTATCACCCTTTTAGTCGCCAAAATAAAGCAAGAGCCTTAATTAATGCGTAAATCATACGTATATTTACTATACAATGCAATCCTTTTCGCTACCAGGTAAGTACTCTGCCCAACATATTATCTAGCCAGCCAACTATCCAACAACCTACTTGAACTGATCTTCCGTAACTCCCTTTCCCATCGCAGCAGTCGAGCTGACACCACCACTAACCATCTTGAGCAGGTTGTCCACATAGTTGGCACCGCTCCATTTCTGATGCGTAAGAACATCGACCTTGTTCTCTGCCTCGGGTTCCTGGATAATCTCGCCATACGCACGCATGCCCTGCTTAGCATATGCCTTTGAGAAAGTATCAGCCATGAGCGCACTCTGGTGCAAGCCGGCGAGCGTGATGAATTGCCAGCAGTAGCCGAGCTTGGCGAGGCGCTGGATATATGTCTCTTGCTCGTCACGTGGCATAGCGGCTTTCCAGTTGAACGAAGGCGAGAGGTTGTATGCGAGTCTGGCAGAACGTTAGCAATCTGTGGAAAATTTATGAACAGATGGAGATAAATACTTTTGTTCAGGCCATACGGCATGCACGCCGTCGGCAAATTCTTTGGCTTGCGCGTAATCTGGGAGCTTCGACTCCATCCAGATCATGTCGCAGTAGGGAGCGTATGCTACGGCGCGATTGATGGCACATTGGCAGCCGCCCTGGTACCTGTAGTACCCTTCTCGCGTCCTTGCTGCCTCCCAGTTGAAGTATACGTCGACGCCGGTGATACCAGTGGCAATGGCACGTGCTTCGGAGTTGCTCTTGCCTTTGCTCTTCTCCAGGAACTCGTTGATCAGACCTTGCTTATTGACATGTACGCCAGCGTTGATAGTATCGATTACAGCCTCATGGAAGAGCTTGAGGTTGGCCTCCTTGATCCAGGCATCTTCAATGGCTTGAAGTTGAGCACCGCTCTTGCCAGCTTGCTCTGCAGCATACATGAGCTCGCTCAGAGGCTGGAGTGCAGGATTGGTGCAGCCCAGAATGTAGTGGTGGTCTCGAGGGTCAATGGTGGAAGTGATGAGGGTAGCGGCTTCTGAGTCGGTACGTGCGACAGCAAGTAGATCGGTGCCTAAGAACTCTTCGTTAGTATGATTTCAGGTCATTCGAGTTTTTCCAATCTTACCCATAATGTCTGCCTGAGCTCTGATGGCTACCAAGCGGTTGATGTGCTCGCTGATAGGTACCAAAACCTTTCCAGCCATGTGTCCACACTTCTTGGTTCCTGGAGCTTGATCCTCAATGTGTATGCCAGCTGCACCCTTCTCGATGAAGAGCTTGGTGAGCTTCATGATCGCCGTAAGACCTCCATGTCCAGTATCCGCATCAGCAATGATTGGTCGCAGGTAGTCGACATTGGGGAGTTTGGTGCGATCGGCCTTTGCAGAGCTGAGACGCTCCTCGCGTTGCTTTCGGTCGTGGAAGAGTTGTGCCATGAACAAATGGCCAACCTTGTTAGGTACAGTTGTCTAAAAATTAATGAGTTTCTTGCTTTGACTACGATTTTGTTTTGAAGAATACTCACGTAAGGGTAGTCTGCTAGATCTGGACCTGGCTCATCCGTAGACGAAGCTGTTGATGAAGCTTGCCATCCAGAAACATACACAGTGTCCAAGTACTTTGCCATCTGTGTGACCATGACGGGGTCAAGACATCCATATGTGAAGCTGACATCTTTGTTCTGGGAATTGTCAGAATACATTGATCAAACCTCCCAGAGATGCTATTTACCTTGAATCGTCCCTCTACAATCTGCCAGAGCTTCTTCGACTGGCTGTTGCTAGGATATGTGATCTTCAAGTTACCTCGCTTGGAAACAATATCCTCAGCAGTAAACGGCCTTCTTGTAAACCTCCATCTGGAATCTGTCCACCACTGCTTAACCTCCTGCACCTCCTTCTGGAACTGAGCGTCTTCAGCGTCAATGTTCGCCATGACGATGTATGTGTATGTATGACGTGAGATGGTCTGTGTTGAAACACCCAAAAGCTTTGCTTCAGCAACCGAGATCACTTTAGATGTAGGAATAAGGAACAGTAATGGAAGAAGAAGAGCATAAGAATGTTAGAGAGAGAGAGCAAGAGAGAGAAGAAGAAATCAGGATAATACACTCCTCTTCTTTAGTAGCAAATCATCAAGCAATGGGACGGCACACCGGAAATCGAGCCTCGGTCTAACCGTGATATAAGCTCTAACGGGAACAGCCAAGCTTGGTATTAAAAGTACACCACAGCGCAACATCAGCATAAAAAACCCCCCCAAATACGGGCGAATTGAGTTTAGCCACCCATGCCCCCCAGCCCTAGAAGGGGGACTCGGGAAGGACCGGCTGAGCGCACCATTGGCCCGACCACAGCATCCGAGGAAGCTGGGTGAAAGCTCGAGCGTGACCGTCATGCTCGAAACCGAGAACAAGAAGGCGTGCCGTTTGTGAGGGTTTCTTCCTCGGCCCAAAGGGAAACCGCACGTTCGGGGTGGGTGGGTTAGCATGACTGCTTGTAGATCGGAGGTGGGGATTGGGGGACCAGCGGAACAAGTGACGAGGATGACGTTTGCCAATTGCTTGGAGAACAACTACGTATGGCAAACTTCATGTGGCCCATTTAGGTTCTGGATCTTTGCACATTATTCGCACTTGTCTCTTAATCATTGTTAGACACAACAGCTAAAAGTTATTTTGGTGTGGGCACGCGACACATGCAAGTCTTCACATGTCGAAGGGCGCGTCGTCGTTGTTTCGTTCGTCCCATGTGCTTTTGTGCATGTGAAGGGGGGGCCCCCAGCGGAAATCTGGGGTTGCGCGTCGTTAGCGTGCAGCGGCTTTTTTTTGTGTACCTCGGCTGATCTTACCCGCAAGAAGGTGGCCATGACCAAGATTCGATCTGCAGACATTCACGAGCAAGACGGATATGTGTGCTGGTAGGTCGGAAATGCAACGGATAATGCCATGTCATAGTAGGCCGTCATGACTGCAGCTGGATACATCAGGATAGTCAAGGCTCACCGGGAGTAAGCCATCTCGGCAATTGCAAATGATCTCTACTCCATGTTCGCCAATAAGAGGACTCCTCATCGCCAATGAGTAATAACTATATCAAGGACAGACTTGCTCGATTCGAAACAGCTGACAATAAATAGGCTTAGCTGTAGCCTTTTAGCAAACCATACGCATGGGGTGCGTGGACTAAGAAAGCGCTCTTCGCCAGCCACCACCAATTGAAATCATCGCTACCACAAGCATCAAAGCACGCAGACCAGTCCTTGCGCTGCGCCAGCGCCAATATGCATTTAGCTGATTCGGACCCTGCCCAGGAGTCGGACCAGGTGCTCATCTGCAGAACAGCTAGGTAGCATAGTAGTATCCTTACCACTAGATCCACCAAATCTACAACCTCCGAAAATCCAAAGCAAAAGCGTTGCGCTAAGAAGAGTTTCGTGACGGCTCTTCTGTACTTCCCAGTATGTTTCTGACCCACGTGACTTCTCACAAACTGGTCCAATTCCGAATACGGCCTGGACCGAATGTCGTCTACTTGGATGTTTGAGCTTTGTGGGGTCACAGAGTACGCCGGGTCGGGTGGCGGACACCTTAGCTTTCTTAGCAACATCCACCTCAGTTCGTCAAAATAGCCTCTCTTGACTGGCGCCATGTCGTCGCCTTCAATGCATATCGAAGATTGGTCTGACAATAGGAAGGGCAGTAATTTAGGGCGACACAGCCACAACGTCCTATTCCGCTCGTCGGTGAAGACACATTCGCGGTCAATCGCCTCGGAAGTGTACGTGTAATGAACGAGCCTTGAGTAAAAGGCCGGGGTAAGTACACGAATCTCCATGTCCTGTTGAGGTCTTTCGGGCTCCAGGACGCGGGTCGTGGAAATAAGGCGGCAATGT